TTTAAGTCTCTACTCTAGACACATGATTGCTTTCCCTGCCATGAACTTGCGACTTTGAAACCAGGCACCGAAGTGGCATCTAGGTACTGCGACTGGCCATCACTGGATGACGTACTATTGGTATCACTACTTTGAAACCAATGTTCACAAGCTTATAATATGTATTACTGATATACATGGGTGCATGCATGGTGTACAGATAGTAGTTGTGCAGGCATTGCTGTCCAAATTCAGTATTTTTTTGTCGCAAAAGAACGACTATTATTGCGGTGGCATTTTTGTTCATGGTGCAGGAAATCTCTGGACATGACAAAAGTATATATCTAGCGAGGTGGCATTGCATCAGCATTTTTTGTCCTTTCAAGAGTATAGACAAGGTAGTAAGTTTCATGGTAGATCAAGCACGATTATGGTTTATTTGTTTATGGGCACTACCATAATTTACATGGAATTTGTATGCAAACTTCTGAAAATAAGGTTGAATGTTCATTTTTAGTGAGGTCATATTTTGTGACAATGACTTCACAATCACATTTCTAAATATATCGTTTAATTTTACATTTTTATTAGCAGTTGGTTTTGCTTATTTCATATCACTCCATAAAACTAGATAGTTTGAGTTTTGAAATTCTACAAATCGTACTTCTGTCATTTCCTGTTCCTTCACTCATGGCTTCGTCCATTCCCAGTGACCAACACTAGGGTACATATGCCACTAACATAAGTTGACTAGCTACAGCTCGAAAATCCAGATTATATAATCACCATGGTGAGAGCTGAGAACTGCATTCCTTCCAATTTGGAAAAAAGGTTGTTGGTCAATTTGGTACTTACTAGACCTAAATAGCAGCCACTTGCTTTAGTAAAATAGAGAGTAAAATTCGTGGTTTGCTTCAGTTCTTAAAACCTTTTTTGTCTTTTGATTAGCAAAGTTCTCAGAAAAGTTTTCAGGACGTCTACTCATTATTTATCTTTTGGATCAAATTCAAATAATAATAAAATAAATGGATGTGATTCCATCATGGCCATTTCAAATATTTGAAAGTAAAATCCAAACATTATCCTTAGATTACAATAGGAATTACACTTCAACTGTTCGAGATAAAAAATACAAATGATTTATTATATTATTAAAACAAGAAAAAATGAGTTAAAA